GCCACCCCATAAAAGCTTAAAGGTAACACTGACCAATTTATCAAAGACAACTCTAGGTCCAGTGTACCAAAGTATATGGCTGACAGGCCTGGGAAACTGGACAGGAGCAGAGGGGTGGGAGGGTCTTCCATGTGGGAGAATTCCTGGTTCTGAGCCTAACACATCTGCCCCATAGCAAAATTCAAAAACTTTCTTGGATCCATTCAAGTTTCTTGAGATTTCTTGGGCCCCATGACCAAAGTTCCCCTTCTAGTCCCTCTACTCCATAGACATAAGACCTCTGCCAAACCCCTTCCAGCCCTCTGAAATTCTTGGGCAACAAGAGTTGGAAGATAGCCTTGCTTCTTGGCAATCAAAGGCCTATAGCAACTATAGCTCCCTTTGAAAATGAATACATTAATAGTCTACTTTGTAAGTTAGGATCACTATGTTTAATTACCATGCATTAGTATTCTAGGGCATACTGGTAACCCCACTAAGACTGAAAAAGCCAGCCAGATAGCCTTACCATTACAGGAGGAATTTAGGGAGTTGGAGGCAAAACTGAGCAAACAGAGAGGAGAAATACAGCTATTAAGTGCATAACATAAACACCAAACTAGAATAGTTTGGAATATTCTTTTCATAGTGGAAATATTCTTTTCAGTACCAACCTTCTTTCCTAGCTCCTATTTTAAAGGCTGATTATGATTCTTGTTACCTATCTTGGGAAATGTTTGTGTATCAGCAGGTGCCTCTGGTGTCTTAATCCAAAGGAGTGATAATGTGTGGCATCAGGTACAATGGCAGGCAGAACTTTTAAAGTAGGAGGTCTGACAGATTATCTCAACTTCCTTCATGTGAGCAACTGCTTACTCTATCAACTTAAAAGTAAGCTATACTCCTGCATATATAGAATATTCTATTTTAAATACTCCTCAAAATAGAATATATAAACATATCTTCATAGTCAAAAAATAAGGCATTTTAAGACTTCTTTCTCAGCAGGAAGCAAAAGAGGCAATGTAACAGTCATTTCATTTGAATTTATGGAGCTTGCACTTTGAGGCATTTTATAAGTGTCCCAAGTAAACATGTATGTTATAGACTCTATTGTGTCCTTCCACAATTCATATATTGAGGTCCCAAATCCTACTGTCATAGTATCTGGAGGTGGGACCTTTGCAAGGTAACTAGGTAATAAGGTTTTGACAGTGGGGGTCCCTATATGAGAGTAGTGTCCTTTTAAGAAGGAAAGAGACCCAAGTTTTCTCTCTCTGCTCCATGTGACACAGTGAGAAGGTGGCTGCCAGCAAGCCTAGAAGAGAGCCCTCACCAGGAAACTGAATCTGCTGGCATCCTGATCTTGGACTTCTCAGAAGTTTGAGAAATAAATTCCTATTTTTTAAGCCACTCAGTCTACAGTATTTTCTTATGGCGACCTGAGTTGACTAATGCAATACATATTTTTTAAATAAAAATTTTAAAAGTGGTTTATTTACATTCCCTTAACATTCATCTGCTACTAAAATCTACTACTGTGCTTGTGTCAGTTATCCAGTGATGTCACTTGAGTGACACAAGCTTCAAATTGGTATTCTTCCTATAAGAAAACTTGATTAATTAATGAACACTGAAGACTGGGTCATTCAGTGGGAAGCCAGGGAGCAAGGCAAGAGCTAGGCTGGAGTGTACGGGGGTGCCCACTCTCAGAAGCTGAGTCTAAAGCCACTGGGTCAACACCAAAGTCTGGAGTTTAAGAACAAGGTAGTGTCTGGAGTCTTCCAGTCAAACAAATCAGATGAGACTTACATACGAAGACAACCCCATGGTCTATTTAGTCCCACATTCCTATTCTCTAGTGGAAAACGACCTGGCAGTATGTCATTGGATAAACAAATCTGGGGATGGGTGTGTACACATCTGCTGCAGTCACAAGAGTATGAATTGTTAAAGCACAATATATACAAACACATCTTAAAGTCCAATTAATGGAATATCATAAGCCAACAGTGTTATTGATAAAAATGTGCATTAAACATAGACTCTAGGGTTAACCCAACAACCACAGCAAGTTCAAGTGACCATAAACTTAAACAGTAATTTTTCATTAAAAACAATAACAGCTAAAAACTCTGGACCACTTAAAACAGCATGGATGATGTGCTGGATACAAAACACCCTTCTTCCAAATTGGAGGAATGCCAACTAAAATTTGTTTGTGGGCATGTACAGTAGAGCTCTGCAATTGCCAAGTGTGTTGTGGCGGAGCCTTCCTGAAAAGGGTTTGCATTTGGGGAAGTCTGGGGTTTACCAGGAGGAGTCCACTGCATAATTGAGAACCACTGGCTGCTGTGTGAAGGCTGCACCTCCCATGAGCTAGAGGAGCTGGGCTGCTGGCTTAGCCTGCTGCCCACGGTCCACTGGGTTTTCAGGGCTCTTCCCTACTCCATAAACAACTCATTGTTGTCCTGTCAGTTGCCTGGGAATCCCAGTGGGGTCCAGCTGTTCCATGATGCTGTTCTGCCTCCTTCCCAGCACTGATAAGTGAATATTTCTGGCCACACCATTTCTGGACTAGAGCTCTCTCACGGAGCCATTCTATAAATGGAATGTGATGATTTAGGAAATGGTGTTAAGAAATAAGAGACATGCCCGGCCGGGTGTGGCTCAGTAGTTGAGCGTCGACCTAGGATCCAGGCGATCGGGGCTCGATTCCCTGTCAGGGCACATGCCCGGGTTGTGGGTTGCAGCTGATCAATGACTCTCTCACATTGATGTTTCTCTCTCTCTCTCCCTCTCCTTTCCTCTCTCTGACATCCATAAAAGATATATTTTAAAAAAAGAAAAAAAAAAAAAATGAGACAAACTTTTGGCAGCTACATACATGAGCAAAATTGTGTTTTATGCCAATTTTTAGGTGTAATATTTAAAATATTTAAGCATGATAGTTACTCTAACAGAGCTTTAGAAGTGTGGGCTCAAAACCAGGAGGTATCAGTTCTTTAAGGATGGTGCTTATGGGCATCAAAAAAATATGCTAAGAATGCAAACCTTTTGAAGATTAATTTCTAAGTTATGCATTTACTTGAGGATTAAAAAGGCTGAGCAAATTTAGCAATGATAAATATGGACAACTGTTTCCTTTATAAAGCTAAACCAGGCGGTGTTGTCCCTCTGCATCTTGTGAAAGACTTAAGCCAAATAATATATTTTACAAATTGAAACATTTGTTTCTTGCTTGTATGCAGGAACATTTAACAAGATCCCAAAGAGAGGAAGAAGCTCTGGCAATAGTGAATGATTAACAGGATAGTTTACAGTGTGTATATCCTAACATCTAAATATTAGTTTCATCATGTAGTCAAAAGGAACAGAGCATATAAACACAAATCAGAGATCCTAAGGTAATTTTCATTTCCAGAAACACAGTAAAAGCTATAAACACAATCAACTGCATTGCCAGACATTCACATGCTCCTAACAAAAGTTTACAGTTTCCTGCAAGAGAAGCACACCAGCTGCTTCAGGATGTGGGTAAGACAGCCTGTTCCTGTGGTAACATTTTCCCAAACAAGAATGAAAGTTAAAAAGACAAATCTTTGCTAAGCTGCAGACTACCAGGTCTCCTGATTTACGAGAACAACAAGAATAGAGTGGATAGAGCTATTTAAGAGATAAGTTAGAAATCAATATTCCATGAATCAGCAAAATCTGTCAGATGAAATGACAGTTTGCAATGGGAAGAAATACCTTTACTTAGCTTGACAGTGTCAAAGGATTTTATTTTGTAGCCTTACACTTTAGGTTGATACACTACCTCCAGTATATTCTACAGCCGAACAAAATAAATATACGCACATATGCCAGAAGATTCTACTCAATTCTTAATCAATAATAGTTCTTCTAGTAATACAATTATAGATTCATCCAATTAAAACATGGTATACATTTAGTTTCCTATACTTTCATTTTCTTGTCTTTTTTCATACTCTTATCTTCTTTCAGTTTTTAAATATCAGCAGTATTTTACACTTTGCCCTGTTCATTGTTACTTATTTGCTTTCGTCACGCATCCCTTCACCAACTCTTCATTGAGTATTTGCTGAATTCACCAAAAGATCGTGTTGGATTATTCATGCTGCACGCATTGCCCTTCTGGAGTTCATTCAATATTCCTACCTATGAAAAACATTCTTTCTTCCACTGCTGAGGATCTTCCCTGAACGTCTGTCCCACAGCTGTTCATTCACATCCTCCCTCCTAACGCCGGGGGCGGGCGTGCAGGGTGGTGAGCCATGAAACTGAGGTGCATTATTTGCAGCCAACATGCAGTGCCCTTGGTTAATGTGCAATACATATTACCTTCAGTTCCACAACAACAAAATAAGGTAGGCATGTTGTTACTGCCATTTCATAAACTGGAAACGGAGCCTTCCGGCGCCAGAGACCGCCTGCCTGCGGTCTCACGGCCAGCACGAGGCGGTGCCAAAAATGGGCCCCTGGTCTGTCTAACCCCAAAGGCTTTCCAGCAGCTCACCAAAGAGGCACAAGTGGCACCCACTACATTAAAAAACATCTTCCAATAAAATTTGAGTGTATGTGACTCATAAAGTTCAGATCTCTCTTATTTGGCTCCAAGAACGATACAGTATTTAGATAAATTTTTAAAGAAATACCTTTTAACAAGGGTTTTTGACGCAAAGGTAGACAGCTCATACAAAGAAAAACATTGATGAATAAAAACATTTTTAAAACTCTGAAATCTATCTGTCCAGACAAGGTATTATGTTTGATTTTTTTTTTAGACTACTCTTAAATTTACTGGGAGTAACAAATAATAGATTATAAGAAGTTAGGCATTTAAAAATTAATACTTTAATATAAATTAAACCAAGAGAAAAATACAAACATAAAATGCCCATTTTTATTAATAGGAATAAAATAAAATAATGTCACAAAATTAATGTTAACATAATGTTTATTATGTTGCATTCTCCCTAATCCATATTAGTTCGTACCTTATATTCTTCATAATCACTGTTATCTAGCAAGTCCCTTTTCTCTAGTTCTATAAGTTGCTCTGTAGAGGGCTTAGTTGGTAGATCCTTAATAGAGGCTTGCTCATAAATGGGCTTTCCATGAAAAAACAGTTCCTTCCAATCCTGCATCATTTTATATGGAATCAGACTATAGCAAAAACAAAAACAAAAGCATAGGGATGAATCAATGGTTAGTCATTATACACCCCAAACCTTAGTCTTTCTATTATTATATTCATTCCCCAGGGTCTACTGTTTGAGACCAGTGATTCAAACTTGCCATTATTTTCTTAATGGCTAATAAAATGTCTGAAACTTAGTAGGTTTAAATGAATGAATGTTGCTTCTTCAAACTTTCTAATTGACTGTGAACTAACAGAACAATATATAAAAAAATAATTAGCACTATCATAATGCTTACATTTTTTTTTATTCCCATCTGTCTTATTAAATGGCTATGAAACATTAGGAAATCATTTAAATGCTCTGGCAATAGTGATCGCCTATGCAAAATGAACAGACAGAACACCTTCCAAGGCCACTTTAAAATACCAGTTGGTTTACATATTTTCATATTAATATGCAACAGTAAAATCTAATGTATGATTGTCTTATTGTCACTGAATATATGGTAACCTTTAAAATTATTTTTCAGTAATTATTTCTATTTAAATCTGATGAATGACTAGAGGAGGTAAACAGACAGAGTAATGGGAAAACAGTTCCAAGATGAATGAAGTGGGCAAAGGTAGGAAAGGGACTGACATGATTCAGGTACAGTTTTCCAAAAATAGTTGGACTAGAGCTTGAAATTACAACTTAACACAGTATTCCATTCTGAGACATGGTACAACATGGATGAACCTTGAAGACATTATGCTAAATGAAATAAGCCAGACACAAAAGGGCAAATATTCCATGTTTCCACTTATATAAGTTACCTTGAATAGTCAAATTTATAGAGACAGAAAGTAGACAGTGTTACCAAGGCTGGGGAAGGGGGGAATGAAGAACTATTGTTTAATTACTGCAGAGTTCCAGGTTGGGCTGATGAGAAATCCTGGAGACGGGTGCAGGTGATGGCTACACAGCGATATGAATGCTTAATGCCACTGAACTGTACACTTAAAAGTGTTAAAATGATAAATTCTATGTTTTACCACAATAAAAAGTAGTATTTAAATTAAAGGTGCAACTTAAAATATTGTTTTTCATTAATAAAGTATTAATGGTTGCTAAAGATTACTTTACAGAGATATGGAAGTTTAGAAATTAATAAGCTCAGGCACAGAAATAATATCAAAATTATTAAAGCGTCATTGGCTTCTATGGTGAAGTAAGTCACCAACAACTTATATATTGCCCACACTTAATCTCACAGTTACTGAATTAATAGCCTACTATCTGAATATTAATAATTTTGTTAAAGAGCTGCTTAACAAAAGTCAGTTCATATGAATAGGCTGATACCAAAAATATACCTGGTGCTTTAAAATATATGTACTGATCTCGCTTAGTGAAGAACATAGAGAAACTAGAATGAGTTTATCTTGCTTGTTAGTGATGTAAACTAACAAAATCTTAACATACAGGGGTGGGCAAAAGTAGGTTTACAGTTGTAATACAAATAAGTCATACAACAAGCAATAAAAAATAATACAAGAATAAACTCTGTTTTGTGTACTCACAACTGTAACCCTAATTTTGCCCATCCCTGTACACATGCAATTATTGTATGCAGCTGCAATTAAAAAACACTCAAATTTTCCGAGTGAAGCCTCCTTAAAAGTTCTATAATTTCAGTATATCTGGGATTTTACAATTTTATATATTTTAAAATGAAAATACAGTGGTTTCATACAGCCAATATGTTCTCTATATTAAGTTTCATGAAGCAGGACTTGAGTAGTAAGAGACAGACTAGTGTATGCCTCTGTGAAATATTACAGTTACAAAACTAATACATACAGGAAGTCTTGAGCTTACTACTAAGTTGTGCTCCCTAAGTTGGTTTTTAAGTCATTTATTTGACATAGAAATGATACTTATGTGCTTCCCTTTTGCTTTGGCTACCAGGAAACTCAGACAGAATTTGTAGCTTGGTTGTAGTAACTGGCAAATCTACTACTGCCTGTATAACTGGGTTTCAGTTTGTCCCTTGTTCTCAACTTTCTACTTTAATTTAGATTTTCCTTTGCTCTTATGTTGGCATATTCTTAACCTTTTTTTTGTTTTGTTGACAATATCCTTATAAATTGCATTAATTATTAGTAAAATAATCTTTAAACAATTCCAGTCTTCTAAGAAGTTCCAAGTGTTTCAAATAAATTATCATATTGTCTTGGTAAATTACAGAGAATTTAGACACAAAATTTCAATGTAAAAGACATATAAATATACATTAAATAAGGCTAGTCAGGGGCGAACTAATCCATTATCAAGGTACTCTGGTTATCAAGGTACTCTGGACCCCACTTCTCAGTCTTTCTTTCATGAAACACTTTTCTCTTTTACCAACCCAGTGTCTACTTTGCAGCCTATCCTTTCTCATTCTCTGGGTGTCTCTATTGTACTAACTGTAAAAACCAATACTTACTTATTTGTCAGCATTCGATAGTCGGCTACTTTAGTGCACAAATCAAGTATGTGATCCAGAATTTCTGCGCACATTATATAATGTTTTTGGTAACAAGCCTGAGCTCTTTCCACAGCAATCTGCTCATGAATTTCCCTCTCTCTGATGGCTTGTTCCTCAAAATCGATCTTGGCTTGTTTTGCCAAAGCCTAAGGTGACAAAGACACTTTAAGTCACTGTAACTCTGTAATGATTCAAAAGAAAATAATGTCTTCATTTCAATAACAAAACAATCTCTAAATAGAATGAAACCTCCTTTTACACCAGGAAAAAAATAAATAAATGAAAGAGCATTTTCACTTTAACACATTAAGTACTGAGTATGAAGGCAAAGACAATATTGGAAATATTCCCCCTAAAGGTTATCAGCAAAACAGAGTACAGAGAAAAGTGGGTTAACCAGGGAAAGCCCAATGTAGATTAATGATATTGGATCTTAAGTGTTTTAAAAGAAGTCCTGATTTCACGGGTGTTAAACAGTCAGAGTCAGGGCCACAGAGAAACAGGCACCTCTGTGCTGGACCCCAAGCACGTCTGGCCTCTCTGCACCCACCTAAGAAGCCTTCATCTGACACGCCTGCTCTGCACAATGTCCTTTAGTGGGAGAGTTCTAGAATATTGATTTCTACTTAGAAAATATTTTGGAAATCCCTTGATTATACTGACCCGAAAATATCACACATTTGCCAACAAATGTTAAATGTGCTTAGAAAACAACAAAATCTGCTGCTGTTCAATGACAGAATTCATTCACAGGGACATCTATTTCTGCAGAAAGGAATGAAATACTTAAGCTGTTTGCTGTTACCCTCTGCTTGGTTTGCACTATTATTTTGTTTAGAAAACCCTTTCTTCACACAAGTACAAAGATTGAACTCAGCACGACCAAATATTGCTTTTCAAACAGCTTACCACCAACTTGAGAAAATCTATCTTGTGCTAATATGCTCCAGAAACAAGACTTGCCTCCTGTAACTTAACCCAGGGAGGGTAAGAAAGAGGTAAACTTGGGCCTGCATGGAGCTGTGATGGAATCTGAGCCCAGGTTGTGTACAGAAGTCAAGTACCAGCCGTGAGCTTGGGCAAAGAGCTTGGGCCTCTGCCTCCATCTCCTCAATGCAAAGCAGGGATATTAATAAGACTTGCCATGAAAGGAAAAACTAACCAATCCATCTTGTCACAGCAGATACCTCTTATCATGATACTGTTCGCACGTGGCTAAGTGCATGACAATAGGCCGATACTGTCCACTGAACCAAACAGAAGTTTCATTCGTTTTGTTGTTGTGGTTTTGTTTGTTTTGTTGTCGTTGGGAAAGGGGTTGGGCTGGGCAGACTCTAAGTCAATCCAGTACATTTGGCAGGTTGAGGAATCACATCAGAATTTGTTACTGTCGTATTGTTTTGTAGGCCGTTTCGTAAGGGAGCAAACGATGTAAGTACAAAGCGTTATGGCATGCTCCAGGAAATGTGAAGAGTTCAGGAAAGGGAGGCCTGGAAAGTAGTAGTTAGAAGAGACTTTATGGGGAAAGGGACAGTAAAACGGGTTATGGGCTTGGTTTACTACAGAGTGCCTGGAAATATTGGAAATATTTAGGATGTGGTAAAACCAAAACCTTGAGGGGAGCAGTGGAATGTCTGTGCCAGGAACAGAGCAGCTTTCTCCTGGTGATGCCTCCCTTCCTCCCCCCCTCTCCTTCTATGTCTTTCTTCCTTCTTTCTAGCTACCGAGTCTCCTACCTCTGCCCACCCAACCACCCCGACCCTGTGCTAAAGCCTCCATAATACCCTGCCCCATTACAGCAAAGTGAGTTGCAGCCCTAAAGAAGGAAAGAAGGAAAGAAGGAAAGGCAGAAGGAAGTCTGCAGGATGCAGTCCTCTCAGAGATCATGGGCTTGGACTCCGGAGTCCGAGAGACCTGGCCTGCGCCTGGCTATGCCACTGAGAAGCTGTGTGACTTTAAGCTTCTAAACTTCCTTTTCCTTCTGTGTAAACCATAGACAAGGATGGTGTCTACTTGAAATGGCCACTGCGAGAGTTATATATGCATGTAATGAACTTAGCTTAATGCTTGACTCAAAGTAAATGCTCAAAAAATGTTACATATTAATGTGTCTGATTACTGTTAAAACAACAGTAGGCACAATAACTTGAAATCAGAAACTATCTTCATAAACACCCAATTGTCTTAAAGAGATTAGGAGATGTAATCTAAAAACAAAAGACAGACAAAAATTCCTAAATAATGGTGAAAAACACCACTTCTTTCTCTCTCTCATTGTGCCAGACACTGGCCTAAGCCCTGGGGAAAGAGTATTAAACAGAAGTAAACGTGGTCCCTGTCCTCACGGAACTTTCATCCAGTGGGAGACATAATCCAAAAATCACACAAATCAATTTATAATTATGCACTCTGATAAGTGTCACTAGGGAAGAGTTGTGGGGTGTGAGGGTCTATCAGGCAGCCTGACCTAGACAAGCCATGTGCACAGGGCTCTGGAAGATGATTATTCACCAGGGAAAGGCATGTGGGAAGGGGGGAAAGGTAGAAGTGGCTTATTCAAGGACCTGAGAGCAGACCAGTGTGGTCAGAGTCCAGGGGATGGAGGGGAACAAGTTCGGAGCAGGGATGAGGTGGGAAGCCAGGGATGGGTTTTCTTTACGGCGAGGGCAGTGGTCAAATCTGAGAGGCAACAGGATTCCTCTGGCTGAAGAATGAAGAATGGTTTGGAGGGGATGAGAGAAGGGCAGGCAATTTGTATAAGTTCTCTCTAATTTTCCCCTTTCTTCATTTCTACCAAGAAATCAGAATCTTTTTAACTCCTGCGTGAAGACATTTCTGCAGGACAGAAAAGGTGGAACTGTTGGCAGCTCCTCCTCACTTTAAAAGGTTAAATCAAAGGCAAATTAATCTAGGTTACTCAGAGGGAGAGGACAGAGGGAAAGGTTCTGAGGACAATGAGAGAGAAAGAGAGACGTACACCCCACTCCCCAGCAGCTCCCGGGAGAAGCAAAGCCTCAGAGGGGAAGACGTGAGGGACTCGGAGGCCAGAAGGGCCTCGTCAAAATGCGCGCTGCAGGCAATGTGTGGGCTGGCGCAGCTGAGGTCTCGGTGGCAGCAGCCTGGGCTTGTGCCCAATGACTGTTTCCCTGATGACCTGGCCCTGCGACCTGGGCACTGTGCATCTCTGTGGGCAGAGGCGAGTTGCTGGAGTTCAGCTGAGGTTGATGTGAAAGACCTAAATAATGTCATGTTCTTGCACAGCCCAACTGTGGTTGCCTGTTCAGGGCCACTAAAAATAGATGAAGGCGAGCACTGCAGAGGGGTGCACTGGGGGGGCGTAGACGTGGAGGAAAATGGGTAAACTGGGAGACGCTTATTTAGTGTGTGAACTCGATAGGGCTTAGTGATGTTCTGGACATGGGGGCGTGAGGATTAGGCAGACTTCAAGTAGGCCCTGAGGTTTAGGACTCGTCCACCTGAGAAAAATGGCAATGCCACTGTTGGAACATGGGACGTTGAAAAAGACCAGTTTAGGGATAAGGGTCACACGTTTGGCTTTAACAGGTTGGATTTGAGGCGTATCTGAGATGTATGAAAAGAGATGCCAGGAAAGCAGCTGGACATATGGGTGCACACGGCAGAGGGCAGGGAGAGAAGTGTCCAAGTCCGATGGTACTGCAGTAATTACACCCCGTGGCTGTGGAGAGGTTGTCTGCAGAGCGGCCAGGACTAAGCTTTAAGGACCCCGACAGTAAGTGTTTTGCAACAACTGGAGAACGTGCCTAAAATGGAAGCCGAGCTAAGCAGTCTGAGAAACAGGAGGAAAAGCAGAGAGTGTTCTCAGCAGTGCCCAGCAGAAGGTGACCATGACATCCTGAGTCCATTCTATCCATGTTACTAGTGTGAAATACTGTACACAGCTTGTGGACATCGTTAGCAGACTTTATAGCATTTTTAGTAAACTTAAAGGAACTTCTAGGATTCACCCCCCCAATAAATAATAACAGGACTTCAAGAACAATAAAAATTAAAAAATAATAATTTAAAAACTTCCTTTGCTTTCCCAAAAGCGAAGCAGTGGTACGATAATGCTGTAGGGACTAAAATAGATTTTGTTTATTGAGGGGATGATCCTGGAAAGAAAAGGTGAGAGTGTTCCCTTGACAAATTCCGTTTCATTCCTACTCATGTACTAGCCGCTGTGGATGGCGGAGGTGGTAAGTCCAGTCTGTGAAGTCAGCCATCTCAAAGGGAGGGTGCCAGGGGGCCGGCACCTGGCCTGAGGAAAAGGTAATCGCGTGAGAGGCAGGGATGCAATTTTGTCAGGTGCTTCGGGACCTCGCAGTGTCGGTCTCTGAGGCTGTGGCAGGCCTGAGCGTCCCAGCCGTCTGCAGCCAGTTGCAGCCCAGTTAAAGACAGGTAACGCTTCTCCCTCCTCACAGGGAGAGCACTCCTGCTACCAAGGCTTTGCTATCCTGCACCTGGTTAACTGGGCCTGTGCAGCAAGCGTATTCCTCAGATAGGCACTTAGAAAGATTAGCTAAACACATCGTTTCCGATGTAAGCAAATAGCACTCAATCCATTCTACTTCACTACTGTCAAAAAGAAAAGAGGAATGAAGCAATTATCCAGATAATTCCACCTTGCAGAAGACGCTAAGATCAGTGTCCTTGCAGACTTAAGGGCTGGTGATGAGCGTTAATATTTGTAGAATCAAGACTAAAGGGAGAGAGTATAGGATGTAGATGTTATATGTGCTGTCAGTGTAGTTATACAAAAATTAAAATGGGGAGATAATCTAGAGAGATCATATAGAAAAGAACTCTCATTCAGTGATTGGCAACCGTACACGTTCAGCTTTGTTTACCTGGACGTGGTAGATAGAATCAGAAGTAACCTTAGAAAGATATTTAAGGGAGATCGTGTTTACCGCTTCTCGATCAAGAGCATCCTGGAAATCTTTAAGTCGTCTCTCCTCATATTGTTTTTCTCGGAAAATTCTGTTTTGCCACAAAACTTCCTTCTCATGACGAACGTGCATGAGCTGCACGGCGATCCTGCGCTCCTGCTGGGACTGCCGCATGAGCCGGTTGATCAGCTGCTCCTCCCGGTAAGCCTCCTGAGAACACCAGCGGAGGAGCCAATTACTGTCAAGCCCATGTCCGAGTTTCCCACTGGCTAAGAAGCCTGTACATAAATAGTGTGCAAAGGGCATAGTATTCATCTGCATCAATTTCTGCCATTTGATTTAAATTTGAACATGGCAAAAATAATAAAAAAGTCATAAAAACAAGGAATTTCCAACAAGGATTGTATACTTTTGGTATCTAGAAGAAGCGTTATGGTTTTGTAACTCCCAATTATTTTAAATAATTACCTCCTTGAAAATGTGATAAAAATAAATTAGGTGATTGTTTTCAAGGTTTTATAAACAGGGGATATAATTCTCAATTCTGAGTATGTTTACAGAAACGTGGGATTGGGCTATATGTACTCTTAACATAGATGCTAGTTGTACAAACAAATGCAGACACTGGCTGGCTGCAGTGTCTGGTTAGTTCCCAGCCAGGACATCTCGATACCTGCGTGAGGAAAAGCAAAAATCTGACAGAAAGGGAAGACGAGAGAAGAGGTCAAGGGGAAATGACCTACCGCTTATATTAGAAAAGTGTGATGGCTGCGATCTGAAAGAGAAACTAGATGCGTTCTCTTGGTTCTCTTTAAGAGAATTAAAGGGGAACCAGTCAGTCGACAGTGGAAAAAGCATTAAACTGGGAATCAGAGGCCCTGGCCATTGCAGCCTCACTTTTACCATTAATTGGCTGTGTGTCCTGGGGAAAGTCACTCAGATTCTTGGGCCTCTTTCTGGACAGGTAAAATGAGGGGTTTAGGTGGAAGGTAACCGCCAAAGTCTCTTCAGGCTCTGTCACTTGTCTAAACAGAGACATCATGTGGAAGGGGAAGGTAATTCAAGTTCTCAAGGGGAGAAAATTAGAAGAATAGCTAAGAATTGGCATTGTCCATTTAACACTCAATAACCCAATTATTTAGGAAGAAAATCTGACATCATTAATGACACTCTTTCACATCTTCTGTCTCACTACGAGATTATGGGAGAAATACTGTACATATTTTCAGAATCAAGATACAAATAACAACAACACTCTGTGGTAAATGCCAAAACTTGAACCTGGGGATTATATAAAAAAGTAGATTAAGTAAAAGTTCTACTGAAAGTAAACATTCTGTTGAGTAACATGTATCAGATAAAAAATAAAATCATAAACAACTTTGAAACAAAATAAGTAGGAGGAAAGAAATAATAAAGATCAGAGCAGAAATAAATGAAATGCAGTCTACAAAAATAATACAAAAGATCAATAAAACCAAGAGCTGGTTCTTTGAAAAGATAAACAACACTGACATACTTTTAACACCAGACTCATTAAAAAAAAAGAGAGGACCCAGATAAATAAAATCAGAAACGAAAGAGGAAAAGTAACAACTGATACCAAAGAACTGCAAATCATTGTAAGAAAACATTATGAACAACTACATGCCAACACATTGAACAACCTGGAAGAAGTGGGCAGATTCCTAGAAACATAGAATTTTCCAAAACTGATCAGAAAGAATCAGAGAATCTAAATAGACAGATTACAACTAGTGATAATGAAGCAGTGATTAAAAAACTTCCAACAAGTAAAAGTTCTGGACTGGATGGCTGCACAGGAGAATTTTAACAAACATTCAAAGAACTAACACCTATCCTCAAACTCTTCCAAAAAATACAAGAGGAAGGAAAACTCCCAAGCTCATTTTATGAGGCCAGCACTATCCTAATTCCAAAACCAGATAAAGACACTACAAAGAAAGAAAATGATAGGCCAATACCCCTGATGAACACAGATGCTGAAATCCTCATCAAAATATTAGCAAACTGGATCCAGTAATACATTTAAAAGATCAAACACATGATTAAGTAGGATTTATGCTGGTGATTCAAGTTTTTACAATATCCACCAATCAATAAATGTGATACACCACATAAACAAAACAGAAGATAAAAATCACATGATCATTTAAATAGGTGCAGAAAAGGCATTTGACATAAAGCAGCACCCATTTATGATAAAAACTTTCAGCAGTATTTTTGCTGTTATGTCTCCTAGGGCAAGGGAAATAAAGGAAAAAATAAACAAATAGGACTAAAAAGTTTCTGCACAGCAAAAAAAACCATCAACAAAGTGAAAGAACATGCTTGGAAGAACATATGGAAGAACATGCTTGACCATGATACATCTGATAAGGGGTTAATTTCCAAAATATACGAAGAACTTATACAACTCAACACCAGAAAGACCAACAGTCCAATAAAAAAAAATGGGCAAAGAACCTGAATAGGCACTCCTCCAAAGAGAACATATAGATGGACAATATATATACCAAAAAAATGGTCCACGTCAGAAAGATGCAAATTAAAACCACAGTAAGATATCACCTCACATCTGCCCGAATGGCTACCATCAATAAACAAGTGCTGGCGAAGATGCGGAGAAAAGGGAACCCTAGTGCACTGTTAGTGGGAATGCAGACTGGTTCAACCACTAGGAAAAACAATATAGAGTTTCCTTGAACAATTAAAAATGGTACTGCCTTTTGACTCAGCGATACCACTTCTGGGAATATATCCTAAGGATCTCAAAACACCAATTCAAAAGAATATACACACCCTTATGTTCAAGCAGAGTTATTTACAATAGTAAGGATTTGGAAACAGCCCAAGAGCCCATCAATAGATGAGTGGATAAAAAAGCTGTGGTACATTTNTCCTTGAAAATGTGATAAAAATAAATTAGGTGATTGTTTTCAAGGTTTTATAAACAGGGGATATAATTCTCAATTCTGAGTATGTTTACAGAAACGTGGGATTGGGCTATATGTACTCTTAACATAGATGCTAGTTGTACAAACAAATGCAGACACTGGCTGGCTGCAGTGTCTGGTTAGTTCCCAGCCAGGACATCTCGATACCTGCGTGAGGAAAAGCAAAAATCTGACAGAAAGGGAAGACGAGAGAAGAGGTCAAGGGGAAATGACCTACCGCTTATATTAGAAAAGTGTGATGGCTGCGATCTGAAAGAGAAACTAGATGCGTTCTCTTGGTTCTCTTTAAGAGAATTAAAGGGGAACCAGTCAGTCGACAGTGGAAAAAGCATTAAACTGGGAATCAGAGGCCCTGGCCATTGCAGCCTCACTTTTACCATTAATTGGCTGTGTGTCCTGGGGAAAGTCACTCAGATTCTTGGGCCTCTTTCTGGACAGGTAAAATGAGGGGTTTAGGTGGAAGGTAACCGCCAAAGTCTCTTCAGGCTCTGTCACTTGTCTAAACAGAGACATCATGTGGAAGGGGAAGGTAATTCAAGTTCTCAAGGGGAGAAAATTAGAAGAATAGCTAAGAATTGGCGTTGTCCATTTAACACTCAATAACCCAATTATTTAGGAAGAAAATCTGACATCATTAATGACACTCTTTCACATCCTCTGTCTCACTACGAAATTATGGGAGAAATACTGTACATATTTTCAGAATCAAGATACAAATAACAACAACACTCTGTGGTAAATGCCAAAACTTGAACCTGGGGATTATATAAAAAAGTAGATTAAGTAAAAGTTCTACTGAAAGTAAACATTCTGTTGAGTAACATGTATCAGATAAAAAATAAAATCATAAACAACTTTGAAACAAAATAAGTAGGAGGAAAGAAATAATAAAGATCAGAGCAGAAATAAATGAAATGCAGTCTACAAAAATAATACAAAAGATCAATAAAACCAAGAGCTGGTTCTTTGAAAAGATAAACAACACTGACATACTTTTAACACCAGACTCATTAAAAAAAAAGAGAGGACCCAGATAAATAAAATCAGAAACGAAAGAGGAAAAGTAACAACTGATACCAAAGAACTGCAAATCATTGTAAGAAAACATTATGAACAACTACATGCCAACACATTGAACAACCTGGAAGAAGTGGGCAGATTCCTAGAAACATAGAATTTTCCAAAACTGATCAGAAAGAATCAGAGAATCTAAATAGACAGATTACAACTAGTGATAATGAAGCAGTGATTAAAAAACTTCCAACAAGTAAAAGTTCTGGACTGGATGGCTGCACAGGAGAATTTTAACAAACATTCAAAGAACTAACACCTATCCTCAAACTCTTCCAAAAAATACAAGAGGAAGGAAAACTCCCAAGCTCATTTTATGAGGCCAGCACTATCCTAATTCCAAAACCAGATAAAGACACTACAAAGAAAGAAAATGATAGGCCAATACCCCTGATGAACACAGATGCTGAAATCCTCATCAAAATATTAGCAAACTGGATCCAGTAATACATTTAAAAGATCAAACACATGATTAAGTAGGATTTATGCTGGTGATTCAAGTTTTTACAATATCCACCAATCAATAAATGTGATACACCACATAAACAAAACAGAAGATAAAAATCACATGATCATTTAAATAGGTGCAGAAAAGGCATTTGACATAAAGCAGCACCCATTTATGATAAAAACTTTCAGCAGTATTTTTGCTGTTATGTCTCCTAGGGCAAGGGAAATAAAGGAAAAAATAAACAAATAGGACTAAAAAGTTTCTGCACAGCAAAAAAAACCATCAACAAAGTGAAAGAACATGCTTGGAAGAACATATGGAAGAACATGCTTGACCATGATACATCTGATAAGGGGTTAATTTCCAAAATATACGAAGAACTTATACAACTCAACACCAGAAAGACCAACAGTCCAATAAAAAAAAATGGGCAAAGAACCTGAATAGGCACTCCTCCAAAGAGAACATATAGATGGACAATATATATACCAAAAAAATGGTCCACGTCAGAAAGATGCAAATTAAAACCACAGTAAGATATCACCTCACATCTGCCCGAATGGCTACCATCAATAAACAAGTGCTGGCGAAGATGCGGAGAAAAGGGAACCCTAGTGCACTGTTAGTGGGAATGCAGACTGGTTCAACCACTAGGAAAAACAATATAGAGTTTCCTTGAACAATTAAAAATGGTACTGCCTTTTGACTCAGCGATACCACTTCTGGGAATATATCCTAAGGATCTCAAAACACCAATTCAAAAGAATATACACACCCTTATGTTCAAGCAGAGTTATTTACAATAGTAAGGATTTGGAAACAGCCCAAGAGCCCATCAATAGATGAGTGGATAAAAAAGCTGTGGTACATTTATACAATGGAATACTACACATACTATGTGGCTGTTAAAAAGAAGAAAACCTTACCTCTTGTGACAGCATGGATGGACACTGGAGATTATTATGCTAAGTGAAATAAGCCAGTCAGAGAAAGACATATACCATACAATTTCACTTATATGTGGAATCTAATGAACAAAATAAACCAATGAAAAAAATAGAAATAGAGGCATGGATACATGGACCAGACAAACAGCTGTCAGAAGGGAGGAAGGAGGGGAGAACTAGATGAAAGAAGGTGAAAGGACAAGTCAAAGAACACAGATGCATAACCCATGGACTCAGAAAACAGTATGGAGCTGGCCAGAGGGAAGGGGGCATGGAGGCTGGGTGGAGGTGGGCAAAGTAGAGGAAAATGTGGACATCAGTAATAGCATCAACAATAAAAATAAAGTTTAAAAAAGTTCTCCAACTATTAACAAAAAAGAATCAAACATGATTGCATAATAAGTGGAAAAACTAATCTCTCTCTCACTCCCCCTTTCTCTTTCTCTCTAAAATCAATAAACAAAAAATTTTAAAAGCAATTGTGTTCCTATACACTAACAATAAACAATCTGATAAAGGAATTAAGGAAACAATCCCATTTATAATAGCTTCAAAAATAATAAAATACTTATGAATAAATTCAGTTAAGAACGTAAAAGATCTGTACAGTATAAACTAAAACACTGATGGAAAGAATTGAAGAAGACACAAAGAAATGGAAAGATACTCTATATTCAATGATCAGAAATTAATAATGTTAAAATGTCCATGATACCTACGATGATCTACAGATTCAATGTAATCACTATCAAAATTCCAATGGCATTTTTCACAGAAATAGAAAAACAATACTAAAATTCATACAGAGCCACAAAAGACTCCAAGTAGCCAAAGTAATCTTGAGCATGACAAACAGAATTGTAGGCATAACACACCCTGATTTCAAAAATATATTACAAAGCTTCAGGAATCAAAAAAATGTGGCATGAGCATAAAAACAGATATAGACCAATGGAATAGAATAGAGAGCCAAGAAATTAACTCACACATGTATAGTGAACTGATCTTCAACAAGGGTGCTAAGGCTACACAATGGAGAAGGGACAGTCTTTTTAGCAAATTGTTCTTGGGAAAATGAATGTTCACATGCAGAAGAATGAAAATGTAGCCTTATCTCATGCCACATTAAAAAAAAAACACAAAAAACTCAAAATGGATTAAGGACATTGTTACTAATAAGACCTGAAACTGTAAAACTACTAAAAGAAAATATGGGGGGAAAAGATTTCTTAACATTGGTCTAGGCAGTGATTTTTTGGATCATTGACCCCGAAAGCAGAGGTAGTCAGCTGACATTGCATCTAACTATAAAGCTTCTGCATAGCAAAGGAGACAATCAAAAGAGTAAAGAACCAACCTATGGAATGGAAGAAAACATTTGCAAATTATACATTTTGGTTAATATCCAAAATATACAAGGAACTCAAACAACTCAATAGCAAAAATAAACAGCAAATAACCCAGTTTAAAAATGGGCAGAGAACCTGAATACACATTTCTCAAAAGGAGACAAACGAAGGGCCAAAAGGTATGTGAAAGAAAGCTTTCAACATCATTATTCATTAGGGAAATAAAAATAAAAACATAATAAGATGCCATCTCACACCTGTTCAAATGACTATTATCAAGAAAAAACAAAAGCAAAAAACAAGAGATAATGAGTATTGGCAAGAACATGGAGTAAAGGGAACCCTTATAAATTGCTGGTGAGAGTATAAACTGATAAAGCCAATATGGGAAACAGCGTAGTGCTTCCCACTACACTGTGCCTCAAAGTGTTTAAATAAAACTGTCATATGACTCAGCAATCCCACTGCTGGGTATCTATCCAGAGGAAATTAAATCAGTATCTCATAGAGATATCTGCACCTTCTGTGTTCACTAGAGGATTATTCCCAATATCCACGATATGGAAAAAACGTTAAGTGTCTGTCAATGAGCGAAGAGATAAAATATGGTATATTTACACAATGGAATATCAGTAAGCCTTAAAAAAGAAGGAATTCCTGCCGTTTGTGACAACATAGGTGAACCTGGGGGACATTATGCTAAGTGCAATCAGCCAGCCACAGAAAGCCAAACACTGCATGATCTCACTAATACATAGAATCTAAAAAAGTTGAACTTATAAAACTAGATTTTAAGAGATCCCACCAAACACAAAAAAATGGTAATTATATGAGGTAATGGACATATAATTAGTTTGATTAAAGCAATCACTTTACAATTACACATATATAAAAATATCACGTTATACACCTTAAATATAGACAATTTTTATTTGTCCATGATGCCTGAATAAAATTGGGGAAAACATTCTCTTTTACTTCTACAAGTAACAATATACACAGTTAACAACAGTTTTTAGATTTTCTCTCAGTATTTCTTTTTAATTACGGTGAAATATACCTAACAGAATTTACCATTCCATTCTTTGTTAAGTGTAAAATGCTGTGGTTTTAAGCACACACACAGTGTTGTACAACCATCAGTAGATTTTAGACTCTCCAGTAAATGTTCCATGTAGGTTCTCCTTTCTGAGTGCACTTGCCGTTATGATGTGAGGACGTCCCACCGACGTCCGAGTCACAGTGGCAGATGATACATACACAAGATGCACGTGACATGCATTTAAAAGGCTGCATTTGGTGAAGTTCCCAACACTGTCATTTCACCAACATCCAAATATCTTACCTCTTGTGCCTCATGGGCTATCAACTGGTCCATCAACAGTCTCCGTCGTCTTTTCTCCCTTTGCTCTCGTGCAAAAGCATCTTCTTTGAGGCGCTTTTGGATTTTTTTAATGTATTCATCATCCGAGTAAGTGCTTAACAGATCGGCAGTGGTCTGGCCTGTTGTGTCTAAAGAAGTCTTGGGTGCACTAAGGACAATAATTTTTATTTTAGATTCAAAAAATAACACGACCACTGGCCACTGCTTGTGGCCATGGAGGAAGAGCTCAGGAGAAGGCCCCCTGAGTACCCTGTTCATTTATTAACATAAGCACAAAAGTGGATATTCGGACTGCCGTGTGACGCTCATAGCTTGTCCACGGATCCCATCTGCCTCCCCCCTTTTCTGGACTTGATCTCTGTGAGGTCCCGAGCACAGCCTTTGCTCTAGGTTCATCAGCTCCTTTTTCTTTCACTTCTCACGATCTTCACTCTACCCAGACATTCTGGGTTTCTCTCCCTCTTCTTCCTCCTGGCTCTAGGCCTCTTGCTTCCCCTGTTCTGAGTCAACAGTAGCACCACACTGAGAAGCCAAATGTCGGGGGACTCCGTCAGGTACAGCAATGCCAGGGCGCAGAGTCTCCCATGGCTGGTTCCACCCACTGCCGCTCCCTCGCCCCTGCACCGCCAGCTGCTCTACGGACTCCTGACTTTGGGACGGCTGAGGACAGTGACCCAGCGCTTGCTGGAAGCTCAGCAGGTGAAAGTGGAATTGCTCCTCCTGCCACACGCACAAGCACAGGTCTGGCCGAGCTTCTCGCCCAAGTCCTGGAGACCCAAGGTGGAAAGGCCTATCGTGGGGCTTTCGTCCTACCTCATGTCCAAAATAAAGGGTCAGGAAGAGCCCGGTCATCTCACCAACACAAAGCAAACACTCAATTTAGTGAGACAGATGGTGGCTTAGAAGAGGATTTATAGATCCTTTCACAAGGTATCATTAAGAGACACATNAAGGTGGAAAGGCCTATCGTGGGGCTTTCGTCCTACCTCATGTCCAAAATTAAAGGGTCAGGAAGAGCCCGGTCATCTGACCAACACAAAGCAAACACTCAATTCAGTGGGACAGATGGTGGCTTAGAAGAGAATTTATAGATCCTTTCACAAGGTATCATTAAGAGACACATTGACATATCTATAAGGATCAAATAATCAATTCTCATCCGCACACCTCTTTAAAAAGAAACAATGCAATACCATGGTATAAGATGTATCATAATATGANTATCTATAAGGATCAAATAATCAATTCTCATCCGCACACCTCTTTAAAAATAATGCAATACCATGGTATAAGATATATNTACCATGGTATAAGATGTATCATAATATGACTTGTCAAGAAATAGTGAATTTTAATATTATAATTATTTTTAATATTATAAGTTATTAATGTATTTGTTTTAAAATATAACATAATTCTATTCAAAAGACAAGGACATAGTATTGTGCGTAGGAACTAAATATGCATCAATTCTCACATGGAGAGCNAAGAAATAGTGAATTTTAATATTATAATTATTTTTAATATTATAAGTTATTAATGTATTTGTTTTAAAATATAACATAATTCTATTCAAAAGACAAGGACACAGTATTGTTGTGTATAGGAACTAAATATGCATCAATTCTCACATGGAGAGAAGCACTCTTGTGAAAGCACAGTTCATCCATGTTTAATGAGGCAAAAATTGCATGTTTATGGTACAGATCACATTATATTATAGTGCATTATTGCTAGCTTGGTNGTATTGTGCGTAGGAACTAAATATGCATCAATTCTCACATGGAGAGCAGCACTCTTGTGAAAGCACAGTTCATCCATGTTTAATGAGGCAATAATTGCATGTTTATGGTACAGATCACATTATATTATAGTGCATTATTGCTAGAGTGGCTGCTCCCAGCCGAACTCTGAGCCCATAAGAAATATATTCTATTTTACTCCTTTCTGTACTTGGGCCTCATATCCCTGACATGTTGCTGATGTCTGCTACATTTCAAACGATATGCTAAGAGGCACTATATNTGAGCCCATAAGAAATATATTCTATTTTACTCCTTTCTGTACTTGGGCCTTGTATCTCTGACATGTAGCTAAGGTCTGCTACATTTCAAACGATATGCTAAGAGGCACTCTACAAGTGTAATACAATTAAAATCACACACTAAAGTTCTGGTTATTTTATCAGCAGGGGCTCAACCTTCAGTTGCATTCTGTCACTGAGAGTCACTGAGCAGAAATGGAGTAGCTGTCAAAGTCTCAATGCTATCAGACAAAGTTTATCCCCATTTATTTATTAAGATTTAGTACAAGTAAGTATTTATGAAAATTATGTGACATAACGTTTTTAGATCATTCATCAAAATTCTGATTATATTTTTACATAAATGTGTTGTCTAAAAGATTTTGCCCTGGACTGAGCATGGGTTAATAGCTCTTTCCACATTGTATTTATGCTACTAATAATGTAACGAACACACTCCTCCCTCCTCCTTTATTTGCCAGTCTGTCCATTCATCCACCCATCCATCTGCTATCTTATTACAATAAAGGCCTGAACAAAGCTACATGGTACTTTCCTGAATGAATATTCATTTTGCCAGATGTGGGTTTAAACAGGGCAATAACTATGCTTTCCTTATCTGTTTACTTTCTAGGCCTCCAAAGAACTAAGACATGCATGAATTATTAGTAATAGGAACCTTGGCCAAACTTGCAAATATAAAAAAAGCAGTTCTAGGAAGAGCCTAAAGGGAAATGTATGAATCCAATGTCAGCGACCAGCAGCCAGCACCTCAGCTCCAGAAACAAATAGCACATGGCATTTATTCTTTGTCTTAAAAAAGAAAGACTTGCACATGTGGGGAAAAGCAGCCACGGGAACTCTGTGCTCCTCGCACTGAGACATCATTCTGTTCTCCCACCGAGAAAGCACATGAACCTTCAGGTGACATCCCTGAGGAATTGTTCCAGGAGCCGGCTATTAGAGAGGCCGCTGCAGGAACCGCTCCTTAGGGTCCCCCGGTGAGAGGATTTTAGTGCTTTTGGGCATCAAGTAGTATGAAGTCTCTCAACAAGCCCAGAACATGCTTGGTTCTAAGCTAAGAATTCAGAATGTACCAAAAAGTAGTGATTACTGAAGGGGCTTAAGAAGGCTCATTTTGTCCCACAGCCTCTGTTTGCTTTAAAAGTTGGCTCTAGGCCAGTGGCCCCAACAGTTTTCGTTTTAGGGCCCTCAGAGAAAATGGTCTTTGTGCAGCACACTGAAGGGGACTTTCAGTCTCTGATGAAGCTGATGACAGGACAGGTGACTGGTCCAGGGGTTCTTGCTGTCTAGGCCTTATCTTGCCGCCCTGAGAAGTGAGGGTGTCATACTCATGGACCCCAGTGGTAAATCTCTAGCAAGATCAAGAGGAGGTTCTTGCAGAGAAAGGACTTGTGATAGACACTGCCATTTCTCTCCCTTTCCCTCCAAACAGAACCCAAATTTTGTTCAGAAAAACAATGTATCCAGCTAAAACCTACGTTTCCTAGCCTCCCATTCTGCTAGGTGCGGCTGTGTGACTGAATTTCGGCCAATAAGATATGAACAGAAAGGTTATATGGGGCTTCTGGGAAGGCTCTTAAAAGAAGCTACTTAAGATGGGAGATATGTGCTTTTGCATATCTTCCCTCCTGATATCTGGAACATGGGCCAAATGGCTGGAGCCCCAGCAGCCATTTTGCGTTGTGAATGTGACCACGAGGACGGAAACCATGCAAGGGGACTGTGGAGCAAAGGAAAAGAGGAGCCTCAGTCCTTAATGTTGGAGCTGCAACACAACCTTGTACTGCTTACATTCTGATTTCTGTTGAGAAAAAAAGGAGACATCCATCTAACTTAACCCAGTCTTGTTTTGCAGTTTCTAAAGCTAACTGGGAGAGAGACCTAGGTTCAGGTTGAGTTAACAAAGGCAGTAGGGAGCAGGGTGCATGTCTATGGCTGCATTACACAGGGATGATCTTTAAAACATTTCATAACTGACACAGCAAGGACACTAATTGATCAAAATAGATGCTGGTGCAGGGATTGGACGATGCTGCTGTGCTTCGTGTCACCTCTGGTTGCTAAATTGTGTGGAGTCCCAGGATAGGGGCTGGGCCTGGAACTACAGAGAACACCTTTCTCCAAAAAGTAACAAAATATTTCAGTATTTTCGGACGGTCATTCTGGTGGATGTCATCCACTTATCACTCCAGAGTGTGTGGCTGGTGAGGTGGGTGAAAGGGGTGGAATACATCCAGGGGTTTCATGGGTCAGTCAGGTGGATGGCGTGGGGTCCAGGTGCTGGTCACATGGGCGAGGGGGCTTGATTATATTTTCTTACGGAGTCAGGGGCAGCCCTGAAAAATGGGAGTGGGAATCAGAGCCCGGCATTGGGAGCTTCTGCAGAGCGGGGGAGGAAAGACACTGCATGCATTCTTCCTTTGGCTTTACTTCCCAGCCACACCTGACTTCCTCGCCTGGCTTTTTCTAGCTTTTTTGTATTCCTCTTCATTTGACAGCCCCCTTCCCTCAGATATATTAATATGGAACTGAAGTATGTAATTGTGTCTTTCTTCTTTGACAAAAATTTATTTCATATTCTATAAATTGTAAATGAGTAGAGTTTGGTAGTTTCCATGAAAAAATGAAAAAACCACCACCTCAAGTCACTCCTATTTGTGTAGACCTTAACCAATTATTTTCTGAGAGTCAGTGACTCCCAGTAGGAGATCTTTATCTTTGGGCAAATGAAGCCCATTAACTTTTTGTAATCAATTCGCTGAACTTAGTTACATTTGGTCAACAACTAACTCAACAACTCTGTATTGAATCCTTGTACTAAGTGCTGAGGATGTTACAGGAGAGAAGCCAACTGGTCTAAGAAAGGGTTTACTGTGACAAATTTAAACTGGAAACCATATTAGCGAATGTTTATAAAATGTGTGCGAACACAGAAGAGTAAGCAGAGAGTAGAAAAAGAATTTAACTTGGCATCGTAAGAGCCGCTTTCTCTCTTGAACTTTACGGAAGTTGTTAATGAACCATTAATCTGAACTTCGGGTGATTTATCTTCTTTCATACCCTCTCTTAATGAAGATTCTACAAAATGGAAAGATCTTTGGAACAGCTATTCCAGGTACACTATTACTAAATATTCAAAACTTACAGGTAAAAAGGAACGAAGCTTTGTGATGATTAAAACATTCACACCCCACCTTTCTTTCGCCTGGAGGTCCTTTTTCAGCAGCGCTTCAAACTTCTTAATCTCATTGGCCACATCCTTTAAAAAAAATTCAGTTATCAGTTTCCTGCCTCTACACATCACTGAAAATCTTGACTTACCCTACTTATTCAAGTTTATAAGGTGATATGCACTACTAATTCAAGCTAATGAGGAAGTGAGAGGAAGAGCTGCACTCTGGCATATTTTTATAATTCTGATTTGTTCCTTCTCTAGGCTGAATATACTTAAAAGAATGTGAAAATTGCCTAACCTGAATCATTTAGTTCACAGTTTTAACTCTGATAGTACATCAAAGGGAATTTAATAAGAATAAAGATTATCAAAGAGTTAGGGTATAAGTTTTTTACTTTAAAAAAAAAATGTTATTCAAGTATAGTTGGCATTTTTAACTGCAATTCTTTTAAATGAGAATAAGTATTTTTGGATACAAATATTTATTTAAAAAATCACTGTCTCAGGTGTTTTAAACATTTCTCATGCAACCTTATCTATACTATTAATTTGCTCTCTGAAAATTAATTTTAGTTCATCCTCTATCTACGACACTTCTTAATAAAATTTAACCAACTCTGGGAAATATAAGAATTATGTACTTTACTAAAATGGGGTCAGAAGAAAACCTCTGTGGGTAATATTTTTTGGAATCTAAGCATAGGAAGGAGACATTTAACAGCTCATTAAAAGAACTGCCACACTCCTTTCTTTGCTTTAGAAAAAAATAAAATAAAATAAGTGTAGAATAATATAAAATTCAATGACTTTAGGAATCAGAGACCTGTCAATCTCTGCTTGACCAGCACTGTGAACTTGGGTAGAGTGTGTCAGCTTTCTGAGTTCCTGTTTCTTTATCTACAGAATGGGAAGAATACTACCCTACTTAGAGAGTTATTTATAAATTAAAGATAACGTGAAATGTCCAATCCAACCTGACATAAAGCAGATGCTCAATAAATGGTAGCTATTAATCTTTTTCTTAGGTCATGGGAGAGAATACCATTGACATTACTGCAGTGGTACGCAACGCAGGCTGCAGGAGGTTGTATCGCAATGTAGGGCTGTTCCCCGTGAAACAGAGTCAGGTTGTATCCTGTGGAATGACTAACCACTGGTACAGTCTAGCAAAACATCACTTGTGTAGGTAGCTTAAATTTAAATATACTGATAACAAGCAAATCACTTAACAGTTTTAGGATTCATAGAAAAACAGTGCAGCATGTGAGGAGAAACTGCGTAACAGCACAGAGCAGGAATGGACACATGGTATGTGCACCTCAACTGGCCCCTACGTCCCCTATAACAGCACCCATTAGGGCCTAGTTTGTTAGTGACCACAGGACCCTCAACACAGGCGGCCACGCAGGTGCTGTCATTTAACAGGAGTTTGTCATCCCTGGCCTAAATCTGCATTCTCTGTGTCTGAACAAATAACAGTATAAAATGGATTGAATATGCATATAGCGGAAGAGTTTTAATGAGAAGGGACAATGCCAGAAATAATCTGAAAAGAAAGTGAGCAGTTTTGGGAAGCCTCTCTAAATGTTTGAGGGAAAAGTCGTTCTTTCATTAAGGTGAACACGACACAGTATTAAAGAACCACCACTGACCTCTGCCTCCTTTTTCTTCTTCATCATTCTGTGGGCCTCGAGCGCTTTTAGGGTACGATTTGATGCGGGTTTGGGGATCTGTATGATAGCTGCCTGGATCTTGGCCATTATCTCATTCTGTCGTCTTCTGCTCAAGCGTTGCTGGATATCCCACACACATCAGTTTAGTGATTCAGTTCATCAAAACACTGCGCAATGTTATACACTCATGTATACACACACACATACACTTTCCCATGGAAATTTTCATAACTCATCAATTAACCGATGGGCTAGGTGTCACCACTGTACAATGTTACAAAGCCCAGTTTTGGAGTCCCCAAGTTACGCCAATCAAATGTGTGTATTTTCATTCTGGGTGCTGATACTAAAAGGAATGTAAAGGGGTCCCAGTGCCACCGTCACGGCCTGCCCAGTAACGGGAAGAGAGCATTCTGAAGACAGAATTCAGGGTAGGGGATGGGCTCTAGGAGGGCTCCTGGGAACCCAACAGAAATGACAATGTTCTCCAAGACTCAGTCACACTTAAATAAGTTCATAAAATACTGAACTAAGTTACGTGGTATCATTATTGAACCATCTTTTCTCTAGGTAGGCAATAATTATTTTAAGGAGAATATAAGCAGAAGGCATAATGAAAAAATACAGTGAAAATCAAATAAAATATTTTACAAATAAATGATTTAAGAGGTAATGTGAAATTCACCATGAATTTACTAGTAAAGCATTATATTAGAACTAATAAGATCATTAATATCTACATCCAAAGATAAAAAATATCAATTCACCATTAAAAAGCCAGAAATTATAAATAATTTTAAAATTTTCCTCAGTTCATTTTCTAAAATGTGAATTGTTATTTAACCTCAATAGGTTCATCTTTTTCTTCTTAAGAAAACCACAAGGAGATAGGCTCTCCCTTTTTTCCTGTTTGCTTATCATTTTTAACATAATAATTTATTTCAGAATATCTAATGGTATCATATCCCCCCCCCAACTTTCTTTGGAGACTTTCTGCAGTAGGCTTGGCACATCGGAGCTGGGCAGGCTGGTCCCATATCGAGTCCCAGCACCCCATCTCACCTTAAACACTAAGAGTGCCTGTCTCCTTACCATGAAACGCCCAGGGAAGCCCAACATTTTACCCACTCTGTGGCAAATAATGCGATCATAAGACCTTCCAGAGTTGGTCTCTCATCTTTCCCTCCCTCCTCATGAGGAGCTGACTATATTCAGGGTATGTTAATTTCTTATCATTCTAAATATACAAATTTATATGAAGTAACTTACATGCAATGAGAAGAACTATAATTCTTTTGCCTGCAGTTTACACATTTCATACACGCGGACACCTGAAATTCTCTTAAAAGTCTTTAATGATTCCACACATCATTGTCCTCTCCTGTCCTTAATGGCACAGGACATCATAAAAGACTTTCAGAGAAATATGAGAAGCAGCGGGGAGTTAGTAAAAGCCAGAAGGGTCAGGAAGACGTTAAGAGAGGTTTAAGGGGGCTGGACAGGGAAGCAAGCGACATTGCTAGGAAGAGAGAAATGGGGCAGGATAAGAAGATCAAGGAGTTGCAAAAGAAGGAAGACACAGAGGGAAATGCCCACTCTGTCTCCCTCAGTGGTGACAATGGTCGCAACCTTAGCTGGAGTAGCCAGTAGCACCCCACCCCATCACTAATGCATCTGACTCATTGATTTCTACCAGACAACTTAAAAAGAGATCAAGCTGTCCTGACATCCCGAGAATTGGCAGTTCTTTTTTCTTAGCCAGGAGGGCAGGTGACAGTGAGCAGGAGTGGGGCTGGAGAGAAGGGGAAGGGGAAGGAGAGAGAGGAGAGAGCAAGGCAGAGCAACAGGCAACTTGTGCTACAGAAATGCTTATGCAATGTGTACTTTAGGCATCCATCTCACACAGTATACTATGCACTAATGAGTTTCTGTTAAAATTGTTCTATAAAACCTTTTCAATATTAAAACATCTTTGTTCTTCCTTGAGTTTTTGAAATTTTTCAAGTTTCTCAAAATGCATTCGGACAACATCTTCTTTCATGTGTACATATTTTTCTTGAAACCTGTGTGTAACCCGCATCAGATTGAAATCAGTTTGACGTGGTATCAGGTTTCTAAGTCTCTAAATGAAGAAAGCATTTTAAAAGATGCCGTTATGAAAGAATAAAGAGTATATCATTGTTATAAGCACATATAAAATTTGTCTTCAAAATAAAATTTCTATAAAATACTAGCATTGGTTGTTAAAATAATTTTAAACCCCATACTAATTACTCACATCCTTAATTGATATAAGGAGAATACAAAAATATGATTTGAATTCCTTTTTACAAAATAATCTTATACATAGTTTTATAGTAAATTTTTTGTCCTGAGTTAAATTTTTAGTAAATGGTATTTAAATTCTTAGAAATATATTTTTATAAAAAAATTTTATAAAACCAATCTCAACAAGTAAAAGATAATATAATAAGCCAGATTATTTCTGTTATTTGAGCCACTGCCTAGTAACAAGTGAGAAAACATTAAAATTTCCAGGCCACTGGAGAATGCAATATTACAAGAAAATAAAATTCTAAAGGTGATTATAAAGTGGGATGATGGACAATGTACTTAACTAAAACTTTTATATTCAGAAGTAATCTCCTTTGAAGCTGAAGACTTACTAACAACAACAAAAAAGATGACACTATTGCTTAAACCATTTTTGGTCCTTCTAACATTGCTTCAGTAGATACTGGCACTTAGGAGAACGATTAAGGACCTCTGAGCTGACTTTAAGCCCTTCCACACCTTCAGGCTCTTCTCTCTCTGAAAAATAGACTGGCTTCCATCGCCACAGGGACAACAAAAATGAAAGGTCCTTGAATATCCTACCTTTCCACTTCAACACATACCTATATCTTCAACTTAATTCTTGCTTTTCCCCCCAGCCAGGAAATACCCACTGACATACCAGATAGCCTACTGTTAAGTGTGTGGCTTCTAGAGTCAGATTGCTTAAGGTTGAGTTTCAGCTACTAGCTTCATAAAGTTGGGCAAGTTACCTAACCTCCCTACCTCAGTTTCATCGTCTGCAAACTGGGAATAGAAAAAAATACCTGTTTCGTAGGACTGATGCAAAAAAATATCAAGTGAGGTTAATATATATAAAGCATCTGGAATAGGGCTTGGCACCTCACTATGTATGTTCAATGAATTTTAATATTACTATGTAACAAACACCCCTATCTTCCTCCATCTGGTATTAAAGAATGCCATTTCTACTCCATCTGAACCACTGCCTCATTCCTCCTTTTTTCCTCCCAGAAGATCTCCTTCCACTTCATCCTCACACCAGTCACCTCCTGCCACTGATTCTTTTACTTAACCAGCAGGTTGTTCCAATATTTATATCCACAAAAAAAACCAATCTTATATTTCCCTTGAGCTTCTTTCCCACAGCTATTGTTATTTTCTCTTCTCCTTCACCTTCAAATTTCTTGAAAGAAGAGTTTATTCTCCCTCCTTTCTCATCTCCAATTTACTCCTTAACTCACTGTAATTTACACCACTCTGCTGAAACATTTCTCTCTCCCTAAAATGTAAGCTCTAAGAGGACTGGGGTTCATTGTGCAAGTGCCTGGCATAAAGTAGGAGCCCAACAAATATTTTTTCAATGAATAATTTGACTGACTCTGGTAGGTCACCCATGGCCAACATGAAACTCAACGGTCTCTTGTTTGGTTTCATCTACCCAACTCTGTAGCATTTGTTACTGATGCCTATGTTATACTTTACAAAGAATTGTCTTGTGTATTATCTTCTTGAAGCTACAAAAAAGCCTAACTCTGAGGCAGATGGAGATAATCATCATTGTTTTTACAGTTGGGATCATTAAAACTGTTCTACGGACTGGCCTAAAGTTAATCAGTTTGCAAGTGAAGAAGGCAAAATGCAATATTAAGTTATTCAGCCTTAAGCCTAATCTAGTTTCTAGCTCTCTATGAGTCCTGAGTTCATTCTGCAACCAGGCTTGTAAGGATGTCCATTCAGAACAAACAAAGCTCAAAGTAGAATTGTCCCTCACATCTATTATGTCAATGTTGCTTCATAATTAAATTTAAAATTTTAATTACTTCCATTTCTACTTAGTGCATTGCATCAGTGCAGCACCCCGCCCGCCCTCCATTATCCTAGAGACCTGGAAAAGTTAATGCCCTTCTCTGACCATAAGGAAATAGCACAGGAATTGGAGAGAATTATTAACTAAGGAGTTATATTAATTTATCAAAACACATTTAATGAGTATTTGCAATGTTTAAAGCATGGTACTAGGCATACTCCTTGAATTTGAGGAACTAAAATCTTATGAGGCCATAAGACAAATAAATATTGAAAGTCAGCAGACATATTAGGAAGAGAAGGTTATCACCAGAGTAAGAATTACCTGTGCCCAAGGAGGTTCATGTGAAAAGCCCATGTGTACTGTGAATGTTGCACAAAAGTAGATGGAGAAAAGTTGGGGAGACAAGGAGAGATGAGAAGAATGAGCTTGGCTGAGAGAAAGGGAAGAGCAGGAATATGCAAGTCCCATTCAAGGACAGGCTGTCAACCAATGTAGAAGGAAGACTATGCTGAGGACTATAAAGAAATAAAGTTAACAAGACAGGTTGAGAACATTTAGTGAAAGCTGTTGTATGTCAGCCTAAATTAGGAGACAGGATATATGTAAGACAGAAGGTTTGTAAGCAAAAGAACAACCTAGTGAAAGTGGAATTTAAGGAAGACTCGTCTACTACAAAGCCTAAAGCTCAGGAGACATGCTAGTAGGTTCATAAGCAGATATGATAAGGGTACAACTGGAAAGAGAGAAGCAGGCATAAAAGTACTAGGAATTAGAAACAAACAGAATTTGATAAGCTATTGGAAATGTGGACAGCATGGAGGGAGACATCAAACTGGGAAAATGCATTGATAAAACCCGAGTATGGCCAATCATATAAGGGACACATATACCCAATGGGGCTTCTCTGAGAACTGCATCACTGTCATTTCTCTCTACCAAGTTCTATACTGTGATAAGCTCATGTTTCTTTCTGTACTTACATCTCGGAAAGCCTCACTTTTCATGTTCTGAAGTCTCATAGTGGTCAGGGGCTGCATGGTTTGCATTTCTGCCCCAGTCAGTCCACTTTTCTTCTTTTTCTGAAGAGCAGTGTACAATTCGTATAGAAGTTTCGTTGCTGCCCCAGGCTTTTCTGTGATGATGTTGCTAGCCACTTTCTGATCAAACTGCACACCCAGAAGGTGAAGTGTTGGCTCCAAGCGAGAAAAATTATTCAGTTTGGCACTTGAAACACTAGACATTAAAATATTTTACATATTTATATATTAAAAACAAATATCAGAGATACTATCATGGTCTGATAGTCCAAATTATCCCATGTTCTTTTAAACATATCATTCCTCTCTAAAACCACTCAACCACATAAACACAGTGAGCTCTTATACTGTCTTGAATTTTATGCATTTATTTCTCTTCAATAGCTAAACTAAAACTTGCTAATTTTATACACTTTCTTGCTAAAACAGATGCTAGAATTTCTACAAGAAGTCAATACAAAACCAGATAACTAAATTCCTTCTTCTAAACGGAAAAATTAAACTATGGTTTTAAAAAATACTTCATTCAGAGGTCAAACCAGCAAATTAAATGTCCATTTCTTTAAATGGTATTATTACTAGAGTCTGAAAATAGCTTAAATACTGCACTGACAACTCTATCAGTGCTCTTCTTGGGCACTGTCAAGAACATTTAATTAAGTAATGTTAGCTATCAATCAAATTAGTTGTGTCATCTTCACTTTACAGTTTATATTACTACTTTAAGAATCCGTGAAAACTTTCTAATTAAAAGTTATATATATTTTGGAGTCACCTATTATCAAATTAGGCTCACATGTTATAAGAAATTCATTATTTCATTCATTTATTAATTTACTGTTTCAACTAACAAACATGTATTGAAAACCCATTATAAACCAAGGATTTGTTTATTCATTAAATTTATCAGGCAAATAATATGTAAATAAATGTACATAAATTTACAAATGCATTAAATTTCTACAAAGATGAATAACACATAGTGCCTGCCCTAGATAAGTAAACAAATAGTGATAAATTGAGGTACAATTTCTGTTGGAACAGAAATCTCAGATGATCTAGGGCTGCTAATGAGCCTTTGAATCCAATCATAGAAATAAAGCAAAAGATGTTAGAAGCATTTTCAACTCTTGTGTCTCTCTCTATATGATCCACCTAGATATAAATATCAATTTTAACCACTGGCTATTTTCTCTTTACTTTTAACTCCCAAACATTCAGTGACATTCCTTAATAGAAAAAAATATACTGAATATTCTTGAATATAGGTTAAAATCCTATCCCACCCCACCCCCCGCCATGATACCTTAGAATAGAGGGAGTTGCCATGTATTTGGCAGAATTTCTAATATTGAGGGTCACTCACTCAATAACTTCATTTTGGGCCATAAAATTATTTGGGGCAGATATTATAACCTTCAACAATCTCAATTAAAATTTTAGAAGCTCATAGAGATCTCTTAGCACTTAAACTTTATATACTATTCCTAGTATACTGCTTCTCAAGAGGTTGTTCTCAAGTAGTGGTTCCAAAATTCTTTTTTTAAAAAATCACATATACCACTGAAAATCTGATGAGACCTATGGAACCTTTTCCATAGGAAAAAACACACACACATCCACACAAATACACAAAATATGTATACCATTTTGGGGGTGTTGGTGAATCTCCTAAAATCTAGCCCAAAGGTACCCATTAACTTCAAGTTAAAAACCTATCTTTAAAAGGAGGTGGGTCTAGGAAAATACACAACTGATTTCTAAATATAAATAAGGAGCCAGTATCATGGAAAGACCAATCTCAACAAAAATAGTGACACATGCCTTGAATTCCTTTTCCAGTTATGTGGTGTAACTTACTGTTGTATTTCCTCTACTTACTATTACTATTTAACAGAAATATTAGGGTATCATACTACATCAACCCAACTTTGTAATATTTTCAATTAATAAGAGACACAGATCTTCCAGGGGATGAGAAGAGATAATGAATGCTACCAGGAAATCTTACCAACAATAAGAGTAAACATTTTTTTTAGGTCTTCTCAGGGACCAGTTTTGCTATTTGTTCTCTGACAAGTGACTTTACAGTTTGAGATGACAAACATTTGCCTAAAAGGATTAGGGTAAAGCAGACACATTTTAAAGGGTACGACTGGGAACGAGGGCAGTCAGGTCAATGCCTGGTGGTTACAGTCCTTGGACAGGTACCTTAAACCCCTTTTCCCCTATCATGCCCTTCTATCCTAGGAGTCCAGCACACCTAGGCCACTACACATATTTGGAAAGATATGGCCTGAGGACCAATTGTCAGAGCTTTGACCTGGCCCAGAGGTTGGAAGCAACATAATTCAGGAGGTAGAATTAGGCTGCAGAGGTTAGAAGCAACATAATTCAGGAGGTAGAATCCAAAAGCCAACACTATTCATGTCCAGATTTCAACAAAACGGAGCCCTGCACCCAATAAAAGTGAAAGGCACTTTCCGTCCTCTTATGAATGCAATGCAAGCCTGCTAATATTATGGGTTAGTCACACATCAGGCTTTAAAATAGCTCTTGTGGACCGACCAAAGTATCAAGGTAGAACAGTTCTTTTCTTTGGAAGCATTTAATATATATCCCACATTTCCAACCATTCAACACTTTGGGAACATAACTGGTCTGTAAATTGCTGGAAGTTCACTCTTGTTACAGCGTGTGCTCAGTCAGTACACCATGATAATCAACAGCTGTTTTTGAACACAGAGAAACCACTGGGACATCTTTGCTCTGGAGACAGAGTATGTGATGTAAGTGATGACTCTAAGGAATAAAAAATGTATTCTGGGAAAAGTCTTCTCCCTCCCTGCTTGCAGCTCTAATTTGCCAAGGAATTGCCTGTCTTCTCTCCTTGCCACCCCATGAGGAAATACACCTTACAAACTAAGCAGAGGCTGCCTTCCCAGGGATATCTGTGCTTCTCTAATTCTCATTCTTTTAACTAATCTGTTAATTTTCTACCCTTTGAGATGGACTAAAAATATTCTAAAACACAATTCTTTCAGAGTTAGATGAATTATTCTTAGGGTTCAGTAATTTCCAAGGCAGATAACTTAGTTATTAGCAACATATACTCACTTTCTGTTTACAGTTTAAAGAAACTAAAATATTAGACAAAATTCCCAAATCCTGGGCTCTGGCACTAGACAGCTTCCCAAAAAATAGGTTTTAACAAAGAAGGATTCTTTCCCCACCAAATATACTATTACAAAGGTCATAGCCATGGATTTACTGATACTTGCCTTTTTTAAAAGACTGTTTGCCCTGAGGAGAAAAAAAAGCGTGTTGTTGCAAGAACTAAAGGTAGATAGTATTTGGTTGTCAGGATAAGTAGGTCCCCTCCCCATCTTCAGGATTGTGATGACTCTCAATGAGAAATAAAGTCAGTCCTTTGCAGTGGGAAAAGCAGGGCTGTTACACATGATGATGCCAAAGGTGGGCACAGATGGGAAAGCTACCCTTGGCTCAGTTTGCCAAGCCCTGTTCCTGGCATGAGACTGGTTCATTCACCAACTTTTTCATAACTCTAGAAATCAGCCGAAGGCTTGTAACAACCCAAGGGGCATTTATTTAACACCAAGAACAGAAAACTTAATCTCAGTAAGCAGAGAGAGCTCTTAGTCATTTTAACTTGCCCATCTCCATTCCCTTCAGCCAGTTCCATGGTAGCCTTAGAGCCCAGCGGCCTTGCAACAGTAGAGGCTGTAAAACCCAGCAGCCATCCGAGAGGACAAATTTGAATCTCCTCAAAAATATTTAAAAATAGGCAAAGAACCTTACAATATTGATCCTTAGTACTTACCCAAAAGAACTGAAAGCTTATGTCCACACAAAAACCTGCACATGGATGTTTACAGCAGTTTTATTCATAATTGCTAAAAGCTGAAAGCAATCGAGATGCCCTCCTGTAGGTGAATGGATAAATAAACTGTGGTACAGCCAGGCATGGAATATTATTCATCACTGAGAATAAATAGGCAATCAAGCCATGAGAAGATGTGGAGGGGCCTTAAATATATATTACTAAGTGAAAGAAGCCAGTCTCAAAAGGCCATATACAGTATGATTCCAAGTACATGACATTTTAGAAAAGACGAAAACACGGAGACAGTGAAAACGTCAGTGGTTGCCAAGGGTTGAGGTAAAGGAGGGGTGAGTAGAAGGAGTACAGAGGATTTGGGGGCAGTGACAATATTCTGTTTGACACTATAGTGGTAGATTCACGCCATTACATGTTTGTCCAAACCCACTCGATGGCTATAATAAAAAAGACGGGCAACAGACGAGTGTTGACAAGGATGCAGAGACATCCCAACTGCATACATCACTAGCACAGAAGAAGAGACAAGTCCCGCACCAAAGGTACTCTTGGCTGGTTTAGCCTTTAAAAGGGACCTTGAGATTGATTCTTAAAAGTTAATGTTGGAGGCTAAAGCCATCAAAATGCCAAAGGAACTGACCTTCTTAAAGTAAGAATTAGTCTCACTAACCTGCTTTCTGAAAATTCTGAAAAATCATCCTGAAGTTCATATTTGTGTAGAACTTCTCCAATCAGATAGCCACTGGAAAATGCTTTTGCAAATGACTTGGGACCTGAATTTAAACATAGGGATGAAAAAGGAAGTAAGTTGCACATAGAGTTTATAGATTTTAATTATGTATTCATAGAGTAAAACGCCATAATTTAATTTGAACTCAAAATTCCATAAAAATACTTCTAGAAACATCTTCTAATAACCAAATAAAAAAATTGAGGTTCAATAGTGGATGTCTTCCAAAAATTCTTGTATAAATATATATCAATACTTGATGCCATATGAAATGTTCACAGAAAAGACAACTTCTAATTAAATTAAAACAACCAATAAAATTTATCACCTTATATATAAAAACCAACCTTATAAGATTGCATTGTAATACCTTAGTTATCAATACAACCTGCGGATGATGGTAGCACAGTATTCTGGCCAAGGGAGGGGCAATCTAACTTTTTCAAACAATAATTAAGACTTAATTTTAACCTTTTTACAATGGAAATTTTACAGAAGGTATCTGCACCTTCTTAAATAAAGCCCACTGGACATAGTCAAGCTCTTCCTTGGTACTTTGGGGGGTTACTCTGGTCCAGTTGCTGTTCTGTGCAACAATGGAAATAGCCCAGAGGAAAACAGACTTTGGAGCCAGAGACATCTATGTTGAAATCTTGGCTCTGCTCCTTAGTAGCTGTGTATTTCTTGAGTTTCCTATCTCTAGATCATGGAGAACATATCTATACCTATCTTGGAGAACTATTTTAAAGATTAGAGATAATGGAGAATTGCTTAATACCATGCCTGCCACATAGGAGGTACCTAAGGATAAGTGCAGAAAAAAAGAAAATGAAATGTTAAATAGAATTTTCTTTTTTTAAAAATGTCCTTAGTTTGGGGTCACTTGTATTTTTCTTCTGAAGTGAAGGATATAGGGTTACATGGTATTCAAGGGTGACATATAAAATTGATACATAAATTATATTATCATAGGACAAAGCCATCATCTCTCACATGGTTTCAAAATCCTGCAGAAATCTTCAACATGTTTCTATAAGGGTCTTTTAAGCAATAGCAGTCAAAATACTACATATCACTGCAGTGTCACATGCTCATTCATACCAGATTGTCCTCTTTTATCTATTTGCCTGAAAGTAAGGTGGCTGATTGAATATGAGGAAATGCTGGATTTGTAGATCTGATGCTTGGTGTGTGGTTGCAGTGGGTGAAGGGAGTTGTTTCATAAAGGCCGCTGCACAGAAACCTCACTTGGAACACTATACAACATCATCACAGGAATAAGACTCTTGCATATCTGACACCAGCCCACAATTTTGCCCAAAGCTTTCCTAATTTTTGTTCTCAAAATATTTACACTCTTAATAACACCCCAATACTCAGGTTGAACCAACATAATAATAAAGTAGTGAAAAAAGGATGGCAAGGATTCCCATTGATCCATTTACTCCGAACGAGCTCCTGAACTGCCCAGAATTAGCATCTACTGACTGTATCTTCTGGCATCAGACAGCAGTGGCTGTCGGAAGCAACTGAAATCCACACGGCTACTGCAGCCTCCAAAGGCCGAGGCGTGCCACCTCCTCCTCCCGAGCCACTGCGGCCGCCTCCTTTCCTCGAAGGCTCGCCATTGCTGCCACCACTGCTGTTCCCTGGTCTCAGCTGCCGCCACTGTCCTCGCTGTGCCATCTGGGCTGCGCTGGACGTGCTTGGCCCCTCTTCTGTCTGCTGCTTCCTTCTCTCTGCTTTTTCCCTTCTCTCTTCCCTCGCCCACCCCCATCCTTCTCTTAGCTTTCTGAAGAGCCATAGTCAGACTATGGATTTCTACTAACAGTCTAAAAAGCTATAGCTTTGCACCCAGGTACCATGTTGCATTCAGGGGGTCTCATTCCTCCTCTCCCCCCGCTGGAGTTTCACTAGGCCTGTGTTCATGTTGATGGAATACTAAGGTCTAGCTCATGAGTAACTGGGGAATAACTATGTCTGACTCCATCACTCTCAATGTAGCAGGCAAATGGTCTGTAGCAAACTGTTTGCTCCAAAAAGGTCACTAGAAAAACAAAACCACAATCTACTTCCTTTGAATTGGCATGTCATATTAACAAGGGAATTCTGATATGGATACAATAGAGGCATTTATGAATATAAGGGTCAAAGAACAACAATAAACACTGATTATTTCATTGTCAAGGAGTTTACTACAAATAACCGAGTACAGAAACATCTACCTGCAGTTTTGTATGCATAAGACACTTCAGGTTCACTGTGTGCTGCACAGACTGAAAGGGAACAGTGGGAAAGACTGCAGCAGCCAATAAAAGCAACACAGGGAAAGATGTAGGAAAAATAAAGGAGAAGAAAGAAGAATACTTGCAAGAAATTAGACAAGAAAAGAAAAAGATCAAAAATACATATATAAGCTAGGAATATAGAGAGTAAAAAGTATGAGAAGATGGGTAAAAAGCCAGAGAGAAAGAAAGAGGGGTGGGAGGAGAGAAACAGTAGGGGCAAAGCAAAAGCAAAGGGAAGTTCATTTGGTTTATCATATTTTTCTTCCCACTTAGTGTTCCTGAATAGCATGACTAATTTTATGACAGACCCTTCTATAAGTTAATTGGAGCTAACAATTGGAATTTCCCACAGAAAAGAAGACATGGGTTGACCCTAGAACAAGGAGTAGTGACAATTATGAGAAAAATCTAAACCATGGGAACCCAAGGATGAGTTTCATGCTGAGTCTAAAATGATTTGCATTTGAGATAAGGCTGGTGGGCAACAACTCAACCACGCCTCCAGTCTTTCACAACACATGACTGATCCTTATCACTAAAGCGTATTTTGCTGAAATCTTTGATGTGGGCCTTTATGAAAGGTCTGTGTTAGGCAGGGACAGCGGGTGAGATGGTCCATGTGCTTCTCCACCAAAATGGCCCGGAGCCAGCTAGAGAAGCACATAATGAAGATAAGCCTTCTACTTTGGGCAGCTCTATAACCTCAGTTGCCTATCTTTAAAAGAGGGGGAGTGATGGGCTCTACCTCATGAGAGTTGGCTTGAGACACAATTGAGATATTGCATGCAAAGTAAGCTTAGCTTTATTCCTGGTATATAGTAGATGCTCAGTGATAATTTTTGTTACAGTTTAAGAAAACAAGTTGTATTAATTAGACATTTCATAAGCTCAATAGTAGATCCTCAATGACTACAGTATAAACATTCTTAATTAAAAGGTAATTCAGTACTTGGAAAGCAAATATTTGACATTGTCCTTAAATTCAGATACAGGCCAACACTTAGGGCCAGATAAGCTATACCACTCCCACCAGAAATACATGTAATCAAACACAGTTGATTTCTACTGCAAAACATTTCAGTGGGAGACTAAATATAGCATCACAGCATTTCTGGTCAAGTTTTGCCACCAAATGAACAAAGAGATATTTGGATTTTGGAATCGTAGACAAGAGTCTGTAAGCAGCGGCCTCCACTGCTCCCTTAATAGAAGAGCAAAGATCTAGCCTGCATTACCAACCCAATTTTAAAAGCGAAGCAAATTTGCTTTCATTTGAGAGAGAGAAGAGTGGCTGCTGAAGACAGGGAACTGGCCTGCCCCACCAGGCCTCGGTGTTCCTAGGAACTGGCCAGGCCCTCAGGGCTAGGCCTTGACATTCTCCTGCTGAACATAATCATTTCACAGCACACCAACACCAGACAAGGCCACTCTGCGTCCCTGATGGATTAAAACAAAACCAAAATCCCTCTGTAATCATGTTTGTACTCAGACAAAAACAGCACTGTTCACTAAGCTGGCTGTTATGAGTGGCTGCTGTTTTGTCACCAGTCATAGCTTTGCGCGCTTTGCTCTCTCCACTTCCTGAATAAGATTTATTAAGATACCCAGTGACAGAGATGCCTGTGCTTCTGACAGGGTCCAGCTCAGAGCAAAGCACCTCTTCCTTGGACCCTCCTCAAAAAACAACTAATGGAAGACTCAATGTTTTAAATCCTTTCTCACACCCTCTTACTGAGATGCCCCACAGTCCCCCATGACATGCGTTCTCTCTCGTTGTCAACAGGTCAATAGACCTGATTTGGTTCAACTACAGGTTTATACTGTGGTCTTGGGTAGAGGAGATTGACCATTTCTTTTCCTTCAGTATAATCTTCCTTAATGGTTTAAATTTTGGGTGACATTCTTTCTTAAAACTTCATATCTTAGTATTTATTTACAAAGAGCCTTCTGTTATTAGATTTACTGTCTCAATTTCTAGTCAAAGGAAGCGACATCTTAATCAAGGGAAATACTGCTGAGCTAGCTAGAAAACATCAAAATCTGTGGTATTACGTGAGAAGCAATATATTTCCTAATGACCCTGAGGGATGAAGCATGAGAAAAATATGTGGTTTAATGACACCAGATTATAAGAGGAATGAATTAAGTCAGCAGACTCAGAATCTACTGTTAACTTGCCACTACCTAGCTGTATAACCCTTCAGATCACAGAAATTTCGTCTTTTACTAAAGATTTCCGTGGAGAGGAACATTTTATACAGTATTTTAATATCTACTCTTTAAAAATAAAATTTGAGCCTGGCTGGCATGGCTCAGCAGTTGAGCACGACCTAGGATCCAGAAGATCGCGGTTTGGTTCCCTGTCACGGCACATGCCCGGGTTGAGAGCTCAATCCCCAGTCAGGGTCATGCAGGAGGCAGCTGACCAATGACTCTCTCATCATTGATTGTTTCTTTCTCTCTCTCTCCCTCTTCCTTCCTCTCTCTGAAATCAATAAAGATATATTTAAAAAATAAATAAAATTTGATACTTTTGAAAAAGTCTTGACATAAGACCTAATCAACAAAGCAAAGTTAGTGCACAAGGGGACGCAAATAAAAAAAAGCCCTTAAATTCTGGGACAAATAATAAATAATATCACTCTCTAAAAAAAATTACTAAAATTTAATGTAAAAGAACAAAATTAGCCACCTAATTTTAATAAGTGAAACCCACTTATACAAAAAAATTAGCAAGGAGCACAGCATCTCTCTTAAAACTCTATTTAATTTTTTACATATCATGTAAGCTATATCATGTAATCTTTGGATATATTAATTAAACTTCTTCAGAATAGAGATTTTCTGTAATGAAAGAATACACAAATATTGTAATTTCAGAAACGTCTGTAGTAGCAGTGACACTTAAAAATAACAATGAACAGTAGGGTTTATTCATGAACTGGTGGAAAGAAGAAGGAGAGTGGAGGAAGGAATCTGACTCTAACAGAATCCAACCTAATCTGATCTAATCTAATCTAACCTTCCCAGCTATGCAAATACAATATCTCTAGAGCAGATAAGTAAAGCAAATAAAATATTAGCTTAACTTGAGAGTTCTTGTGATACTATCTAATTTCTGACTGTCAATGAGCAATCTAATCTATAAATTTGCTCTTCTCCCAGGTGCACCAGCCCATTAAGATGGTGCATCATTGTCAATTGCCAGGATGGGTTATTCTATCCCCTCCTCATGATAAACGGGTACCCTTGTTTACTAAAGTAACAAAGCAGCTTCTGAAATCACGAAGCTGAGGTTCAAAGTTCCCAGGGTGAACTTCTCAAGATGAACAAATCCATAAGGTTCAGCCCAAAGCAATACTCTACTTTTGCCTCATTCACAGACTTCTATGTAATAAACAATGATTTACTAAATCCCTACTATGTGACGGGTACTATACTAGGCATTATTCTAAAGGGACAGACAGAAAAATAGTTGAAATAATATATTTTTTAGTATCTTGATGTAGTAGATGTTAGGAACTATGATAGATACTTTTCATTTGCAACCTCATTTAATACCCTCCAAATATATAGCAATTCTTATTCTAACTTTGCAGGGTGTAAAACTGAGACATGGAGATTATTATTTCTATTTTGTATACTGCAAAATTTTCAACATAGCCACACCCAGAATCCAAAAGAACATGGACTATAAAGATGGTTGTCCATCTTTATAAAGGATCTGATTGGTACAGTACATGGAATCCTAAGGCTTCTGCTCAATTATTGAAAATGTTCAGTTATTTATGGAGAATATTTTGAAGCTAGTTTCCTCATCTGGTGATTTCATAAGAGTTTTGTAAAGCAGAGGCAATGTTTATTCTTGAAAATAAAGAAGCATTCCTAAAAATTTTTACAGCAAATCCTTAAGTAACATTACATTACTTATTTTTCATTATAAAAATAATTGCTTGAGCAACTTTTTTTGTACTCTAAGACATTTCATGAACATACACATGTAAGCATCATTTCCAGGGGAAATGGTCTGGTTAAATGTAACTCACTAAAGATCCTTAGCTTTAGTAACATAGATGTGAATCGTCATATGTTGAGACCAATCAACTTTCTAGTGGCTCCAGAAACCTTCTTCCATTAAGTGGAGGGAAACTTCTCAGTTGAGAATCACTGGAATTTGTTTTCTTTACTGCTGATATTCAGGGTAGTCCAGGCAACAGAAAATTCAGTAAATGCTTTATCCAGACTGACTTCTGCCTTTCAGAATTATCCAGAAATCAACTGGCTTTCTTTGCCTCTCCAAAATGACTGAACCATTCCATGTACTGTACCAGCCTCATCAAGGAAGCAAATGTACTCACATGATATTCTTACGCTGTTTTCTTTGTCCCAGCAAGTAATATATAGACAGAATCACTTCTAAACAAACACTAATAAACCCCCCTTTCATACTTAACCATCTAGGAATTAAGTTATGCTCTGTGAAGTTACAACATGCCTCGGTGGATGAATTTCTGTGTTTCTTCTGACCTCAACTTGAACAATGATTTAAAAGGAGCTCACATGAATAAATTTGGGGGAGATGAGTTATTTAAAAATATATTCCCTAAATATAAATTCTAACATACAATATCGTGCCTAAGAGCACAAGTCAAAGATCTAACTTCAAAATCTACCTGTGCGACCCTGAAGGAATCCCTGAGCTCTCAGTCCCTTTTACTCATCTATACACTTGGGACAAGGTCTCTTAGGGATTTTTCTTTGTTTTAGGATGAAATAAGAAACGTATTTAAAGGGCTTAACACCGCCTCCTAAGTGCCCAAGTATTCAGTAAGAGGTAGCAAGCTGGTATTAAGCAAGGGTGTTTCTGGGAAAAGAGATTGAAACGATTTGGTCCGAAAGCCTCTTGCCTTCAGCAAAAACAATACCAGCTGAAAAATAAACTCCTGCAGCTGAAACAACAGAAAGAAGCGGAGAGGGGGGTAGGGCTCAGCAGCAATGCCCTGACTGCCACAGACGCTGCCAGCGTGTAACCCGCCTCGGTGGCTGAGAGATTTAAGACTCTGGGGGGCAGCTTCAGGGGTGGGATGAAGTCGGGTTAGGATGACATTCGCTTTGGGCAAGGAGTCAGGAATAGCTAATGCTGGTGAGTTTGGGGCTGAAACTGTGACCTGTGTAACAGGCAGCACACTCTGCATGAACCCCTTTCGCACACGCCCCTCCCGGCGCGGGCGGGCGTGGACAGCGGCACCGGGGTCTCGTTCGCTGGAGGAAACGCGCGCAGACGAAGCGCCGTCGGGGGCCCGGGGCACCCGCGTCTGGGGGGCGCGGGCGCTGCC